ATCAAGAGTCAGACGCTTAACCCACTGAGCCACCCGGGCGCCCCTAAACATGTGAAGCCATCCCAACACCCAACGTGGGGCTCGAACCCACAACCCCGAGATCAAGATTGCACCCTGCGACTGAGCTGACCAGGTGCCCCTGCACTTGTAATCTTGAGCAGGTTATGTTAGCCTCTCTCTCATTCTACCTCTTTTCATTTCGCTAAAACGGGTGTACTGGTCAGGACTCTAGAGAAACAGAAGCCGTAGGACGTGCATACGTAGAAGCAACATCTATTTTTAAGGAACCGGCTTATGCAAGTGTAGTGGCTGACAAGTCCCAAATCCGCAGGGTCTCCCTCTGTCAACACTTGGCTTCCTCCTGACCTCGGTGGGGAGCCGTGGGCAGAGGGCCAGGCGGCAGCCCGGGCGAGTGTGGCCACCCGGCAGGCTGGAGACCCGGGAGGAAGCAGGCTGGTGGTCAAGTGTGAAGGCCGCCTGCTGCTGTACTCCCTCTTGGCCTGGGGCGGTCGGTCTCGGGGGCAAGAGCTGAGATGGAGAATATCTATCAGGCACTAAGTACGCTGACCGGCAGACAGTAGATGCCTACTTGACGGTCGTCCTTGTCACTGCGCGCGAACGCACGTCGAATGCCTAGTGGGTCAGGCACTCTGCGCGGAGCCTCCACCGCGATATTTAATTCGAGGCCTCGTTACCACAATTTGAGGTCGGTTTTATCACCCCCGTTTACAGCCTCAGAATTGAAGGTGCATAGAGGTCACTCGCCTTGCCGAAGGGCCTTCTCTCCTGGTAAGTGTCAAAGCCAGAGCCAGAAGTCAGGTCAGGCTGATCTCGAGCCCCAGGCCGTTCCACTTGCACGTACTGTCCAGAACATGCACTCTCCGAGTCGGGAGGCCCGTGTCACAGAGGCTGGAAATGGGGACTGGAGGCTGAGGCAGGAGGGGAGGGGGGAAGGCTCGCTGGGGAGAAGTTCCCGTGAGGCAGCCAAGGTCAGCCCTCACGACGCTCTTGGCCCAGAGAAGGGGTATGTGGAAGGTTTCTTCCGTGGGATCCTGGCCTCTGGACACACAGCCTCACCGTCACCTGGGCGGGGACCTCCCTGCTCTCCCGGCTCATTGGAGGAGGGCGTTCTCGGAGAAGAGCTCTCACGGGTCCCGAGGGCCGTGTGCTGAGGTCTGTCCCCACAGGGCCTCAGACCGAGACTCGTGCTGTCCTCCCCAAGCGCGCCACAGTAGTCACCCTGTCGCTGACAGACCGGAAGGAAGGTGCTCACCATACGGTGGTTGGACGTGTTATTATGGAATTTCCAAATGTGCGCAAACTAGAAAGAACCGCACAATGAATGTGTCGTCACCGTGGGACTTGACCTTCTCAACTAGGGCCTGCAGCTCCCCGTGAAGGAGAATTTTCTAAAGATCCTGTGATAGTATCGTTCCTAGCATGATTATATTGTGTTGTAATCTTGTGTTACCAAGTGTTAATTTCTTGGGGCGCCTGGGGGGCTCAGGTCATGACCTCTGGGTCTGTGAGCTCGAGCCCCTCACCGGGGTCCGGGCTGGCAGCTCAGCGCCCACTTGGGATTCTCTTATCCCTCTCTTTCTGCCCCTCCCCCGCTCTCAAAATAAACAAACATTAAAAAAAAGAAGCGTTAATTTGTTAAATGTAAACATTGCGAATGTGTTTCCATTTTTCTTTATCTTGAGGCACCTCTGGCGCCTGTGTCCCAGGGGGTAGTTGTTGAACGGCAGGCCCAGGTGGAAGACAGTGGGTTGGAGGGAACGACGCCCACCCCACCCCACGCCCGTGGGTGCGAAGGCAAGAGAGGGGGGACAGCTGGCTCCGGGGATCCCTGCTGCCCCACACTTTGCCGTCACTCCAGGTGATGAGGGGCACCAGCCAAGTAGCGTTCCCGGCACAGTCTGTGTGGCCCCCGGGGGGCGGGGGGCGGGTTGGGGGACTGGGGAACTAGGGTTTGGGAGCACAATCTCCATCTTGGCCCTGCCCCCTGAGGAAAAGGCAAAGAAAGGTACCTGAAGCAGAGCAATTAAGTGCCACCAACTGTGCCCGGCAGAGGGTTCCGGCCATTGTTTGCTTAGGAGGCGGCCCTGTGAGTGACCCTAAGTCAAGGAGGGGAGTGGAGGGGCCTTCCCGAGGGGGCAGGGCCTCCGGCTTCTCATTCTTTTACGGTTCCCACAGGCCCAGGGCCTTCTCTGCTCACAAAGGACTTCAATGCTGGCTTTTAGACTGAACCTTTCCCCTTTGTATCTGTCTCTGTGTCTCTCAGCATCTCTGTCTCTGGCTCTCTCTTGTTTCCCAACATCCTTCCCGAGCCCCTGGGGAGCAGAGCTGGGGGGCCTGGCAGTGGGAACCGGACTGTGTCCTGTTCTCACCAAGGACAATGAGGGCCGGAAAGGGCTGGAGCCAGGGCCTGGCGCGGACTCTCGCTCCCTGCCTGTCCTGGGCGCCCCCCCCCCCCCACCCCCACCGCCCCGTCCAACCCTGTGGTGTCCCCTCCCTCCGGTGCCAGTCAGGGAGGAGTCCAGCCTCTGCTGGGGGTGGGGGGAGATAGGGAGCACTTTTGCTTCACCTTCCCACCAACCTCCCCTCTGGTGGCATCACCTCCTGCCCCAAAGCCCGTGCCTCCTGGGCCGGAGCCACGGGACGTCCTCCCCGGCCTGTCCCCCCACACATCCAAGGCCCCCTCCCCCGTATTATTTACTCCTGTTTCCGGAGCTGGTGGCGGGACCAGTGGGTGGACGGGTGTCAGGGCCACGTGTGAGGGAGCAGGAGGAAACATCTGGCTTCCCTCGTCCTCCAGGGGCCGCCTCGCCAGCCCGGAGGCCTCCAGCCCCTGGGGGGGGAGCCAAGCCCCAGAGGTTAGCACCTTTGCCCTTCCCACCTTCGGGCCTGCAGAAGCCTTTGTGGCCTCATGCCCTCTTACTTAATGATGGTTATTAGTGGGTAGAATGCCCCTGCCAGGGTTAATTGGTAGGTTAGGTAACTAGGCACCCCAGAGATAGGCTGGGTGGAGAGCTGAGATCGGCACCCTCGGCCTCGTAAATGCACCTGTTCCCGAAGAAGGGGTCATTATTCCTGAGCCACATGCTGTCACTGGTGCCTACACGGTGGGTGGCAGCAGGTGCCCCGGTCGCTTGGCAGGGACCTGGACCCTGCTCTCCGGCTCCTCCCCCCCCCCCCCTAGCCGGGCCCCCCCCCCCAAACTCTCATCTTGGAAGCCAGGGTACCCTCAGGTGACCAGATCCCCTGGGTGTCTATGCTCCCTTGGGCTGGGACCCGGCCCTCTGCCACAACTCCCACCCCAGTTCAGGAGGAAGTCAAGGTCTGACAGAGGGGGCCCTCGGACCAACCCAGCCTCCTCTTACAGCCAGGGCCCATTGGAATAGGCTGTCATCCTCCCCCAGAGGGTCCCACATACCACACATCCCCTCACCATCACTAGGTAAGTTCCTCTCAGGGAGACTCTGGTCTCCTCTGAACTCTCCTTGCCTTGCTCCCAGGGAGACTCGACTCCGTCTTCAGGCCCCCTCAGTGGGCCAGTCCTTCAGGGTCTCCAGGGTTGGCTTCCCCCAGAGAGGCTCAGCAAGGACCCAGAGACCCAGCAGGAACCCTCCCCAGCCCTCAGGGCAATGGTACTGGTCCCCAGGAGATGCGAGCTAGTGGCGCCCTCTGCAGGCATCCTGGGGAAATTGCAGAGCACTCGTCAACCTAGGGACGGAGGAGCCTGGGGTCTGGGGTTCCCGTCACAGATGGGAGTGGGTGGGGTTGGCCCCTGACTAGAGGGAAGGGGCTCTAATCCTGGACCGGAACTCCTTCCACTCACTTCTTCATCTCCACTGGGTCTTTGTCCCTACTGAGACACATCCCACATGCAGTATTGTTACCAGATGGGCAGATTCTTTCAACCAACCCACCAGTCTTTACTGCCCATTGTCAAGCACAGTGCAGAGCACCAAGTGACCAAGGCAAGATGCACACCCCAAAGACCACGGCTTCCGGGAGGGGCTGCCTAAGGAGCCTCAAAGGACAAGTACTCTGGACAGAGAGGTGTTCCTCAGGGCAGGGCACAGCATAGGACCTGAGAAACCACATCCTTCACTTTTTTTTTTTTAACGGAGATTTATTCATTTTTGAGAGCTAGAGACAGAAAGTGGGCGGGTGAGGGGCAGAGAAAGGAGACAGAAGATCCCAAGCAGGCTCCACGCTGTCAGCACAGAGCCCCGTGTGGGGCTCCGACTCATGAACCACGAGATCATGACCTGAGCCGGAACCGAGAGTCAGACGCCTGACTGAGCCACCCAGTCGCCCAACCACATCTTCATTTCCATCAAGGTTGGCTCCGAGGTCGATGGCCTTGTCCCTACCATTTTGTATACTTTGCTAAAGCACAGCAAGTTCCTATCTCGGCTGCAAGACAGGACAGAAATGAAGGCACCAGGACAAAGAGGATGGGCGGTGATCAACCTCGGGAGTCTCCAAACACGGACAAACGTCCACACTGGCATTTCACAGACGGGGCCGGGAGGACAACATCGGTAGAGAATTCCCTTCTGAGGACTTGGAGGAGGGGCAGGGGCCCTGTTTGCTCAGGGTGGGTAGTCCGAGTAACGAAGCCCCCAGAGGTGTCGCAGGGGCGAGGGGCCTTTCCTTCCCTCGTTCCCGTTCCAAGATCTAGTCCCGTCCTGACGGGCAAGGAAGGCTTCCTGCGCTCAAACCCCGACCCCTCTTCCGACAGGTCAACACAGCGGGTCACTCGTGCACTTCACTTCCACGAGGAGACTTTCACACGAGCACGCGCCGCTCCAGCGCCTCGCAAAGCGTTTGGCGCGGTCGGTGCTCGATAAACACCTGCTAAAAAGGAATCTTAGAGGAAGAAGCCCCGCCACCCCCATGGCTGGAGAGCACGGGTATCGGCCTGCCACGGCAGCCCGCGTGTGCGGGGACGGCACAAGAGGCTCGCGGTAGATCACGGCTCACAGAACTACAAAGAATCAACTTTATTGGACACGCAGGGTCAGTTTCTCTTTTTGCCCTTCCCCGTGACCTTGGCTGGGGCGAGGACTGGAGCTGTTGCCTGGTACAGCGTGGAGGAGATCTTGTTGATGTAGTACAGGCCAACCATGGAGAAAATGAAGCTGCGGGGGAAGACAGGAAAGTCACGGCATCGGCGGGCATCCGGCCAGCCTGGTGCCTCCTCGGGCAGGCGGGCGGCGGCAGCAGGGAAAGAACCCTGGATCAGGTTTGGGGAAGTGGGGAAGAGGAAAGGAGGTAGGGGGAAGCACGCTGCGCCCCTTACCCAGCTGCGAGGCACTCACCAGGTGGTGACACAGACACGGTGAATGAGGCCGGATGCAAAGAGAGCCAACAGGAGGCAGAGAAGAACTGGGGAGGCAAGAGGGCACAAGGAGGGTGCTGGTCGGAGTGGGAAACACCAAGCCTTCATAAGTGCATTCTAGGAGACACCAGGGGCGCTCTGAATCTTGGGGGGGCCTGCCTGGAGGGAGTTGGCATGACAGTGGCAGGAGGACTTCAGACGCCCTTAATGATGCCCGGGACATGGAGGTAGGAGACGCATGCTCCTTACCAGCTCTGTCACAAATGTCACTGAACTTCCCTACCCTGGCTTTCTTCCAATATAAAAGAAAAGGAAAAGTGACAGCAGCATCTGAAGGGCAAGGTTTGCTGCTGTTTGGGAAAGAGGGTGAGGCCTTTGCCACAAAAGCCAGCCACTAAGGGTTGATTCACTCAACTGGCTGTCCAGCGGTGGAAGCTGAGGGCCTCGGTCCCCGGACACAGGTTGGAGGGCAGAGGGTCTGGACACCCACGCCCACGGAAGCAGGAAAGGGTCTCCGGGGCATCCGGAGTAGGACTGGAGAGAAAGTGAGAGGGTAGAAAGGAAGGGCAAACACCGACCGCCCAGCTGGGGAGGGCAGCGTAGGACAAGAAGGCCAAGAGCCCTGCCCCACAACAAAGGTCTCTTTCCGAAGCACAGGAAGACAGAACACAAGGAAACAAAACCTCCGAAGGCTTGAGGCTGCAGGAGGGAAGGAGCTGGGGGAGACTGCAACAGGGCTGAGTGGAGAGAGCAAGGCCCCGAGAAGGGTGCAGAAACCAGGTCTCTGTTCTACGGGAGGAAGGCTCCACAAGAGGCGGCCTGTGCTGTCACTTTCAAGCTTGTGACACTCCCTAGGTGACCCAGCCTCGACGTCTGATTTGCTTTGTGAACTTAATTCTGCATAAATAGCGAAATCATCAATTCTCCATTGCGCAAGCAATAACACGTACGTTTCAAACAGGAAACGATCTCACGTTTATTCTAACTCGGTCAGGGTCACTGCTGAGGTGAAACCTGGAGGCTCTAACACTTAAGCTATTGACGATCGGGTTAAATACACAGAATCCACGAACACCGGCTCAACTTCACATCAGAACCCCTCATAGAGTCAGTCCTGTTCCTTCCTCTGGGGGGAACAAAGACCGTCCCCAAGGACGTAGGCAAGGCGCGCGCCCTGTCCTCAGACCTCCCAGGGGAAGTGGCCCAAAGGTAACGAAGTTTCGCGCTTTCCGGCCTTCCCTTCCAGCTCCTCCACGAGCTAGAGGACGTGTTCCGGGAGCGTCAGCGCCTCCGACAGCCTCAGCAAGCACAGCTCCCCTACGCAGCTCGGACCAACTGAGCGCCTGGGAGGGAGGTCAGTCCCCTGCTGGGGGAGGTTGGAGCAGAGGGCTCACTCACAGCCCCCACCCCCACCCCCACCCCACCCTCCACCCCCGGTTCGCACTTACTCTCGGGGAAGATCTTGGCTTGGAATCCTTTGCCAAAGACCAGATTCTCCAGGTTGTTGAAGGCCTGGGCCCAGGGAGTTAAGGGTGGGGACGAGAGACCCGGCAGAGCCGCGAGGCCGCCTCCTCCCCCCGCCCCCCGCCGCGCAGGAAGGATACGGTGAGAGAGAAGACGAAGAGGCCCGAGCCCAGCAGGCCCCCCTGGATGGTGAGCCACTCGGTGGAGGCCAGCTGGCGGCTGTACATCTGCATCCCGGCGAACAGCAGCAGGGACAGGAGGGAGGAGAGCGCCAGCGAGGTGCCCGTACCCACGGCTGGAGGGGCGGCGACCACAGGAGGCGCCGAGTCGGGCTCGGCCCGGCCCCCGGCCGCGGCCACAGCCGCTCCCCCGCCCCACCCC